CATCTATTTTTCATTACGGACTATGCTGGGTTGGTTAAACAAATATGTTATTCTTGTTCTTAAGTGCCATTGAGTTGGTTCTCACTCATAGCAACTCTGTACTGTATAGGGTTTCTTAAGAGTGGCAAGTGGATTTGAACTGCTGACCCTGATAGACCTTGCAGTCCAGTGCATAAGCACATATATACGTATTAAATAAATTCTAATTTTCATTTTTTTCTTACATTAGCAAGCAGAAGATTTATACCACTTAAATAATGGTTTCAAGGGAAACGTACAATCCAAGCTATAAGAATGCAATATCTACCATTTATCCACTTGGTGAGTTTGAAGTTTAACTTTGACCAGACCAGTGCCCTAGTTCTCTGTATGATACCTAATTGGATACATCTAATTGGATAATTCAATGATTTGAGAATATCAATATGTTTGTAATTACAACAATTACTAATTTCTGATTATATCAGCTTCTTCTTGTTCAACCATAATACTCCAAATTGCTAACAAGTAGAAGCCTTTTGAAAAACAAAAATTGTAATGATCCTTATGAAATGATAACATGAAAACCAAGTAATTACAACTTCAAAGATCAAACCCTAATAAGGAAAGTGTTTTGAGATTAGAGAAAACAGTTATTTTAATCAGGATCGTTTGAAAAGATCAAGATTGTATGTATGTGGTAGTTCATTTAATAGACTGGGTTTGGAAAAGTGCAAAAGTCTTCTTTCTTGTTTTTATAGTCATTTGAGGTTTTTATATTGGAATAAGTATCCATGTTTAATTCCAGTTATACTAAGAACGTCCAAAAAAAAAATTTTTTTTTTTTAAATTGAAGTATGGATTCAACAGAATTGTGGAAACTAAATAATTACATTTATAATTACATAAAAAATTACATTTATAATTTTGATAGGATTAAAAAAGGAAATAAATTTGTGAACATTACCTGTTTTCACTCCATTCCCTTTGGGCATTTTACTGGGCTTGGGTCTAGGTTTTGCAATTGTCTTATTCATAACTAGAATAAAGTAGGAAATAATTCAGACATTTCATCATTAAAAGTTTGAACGCAAAACTAAGAGGATGGCAAGTCATTTACTGGGGAGTAAAAATTAAAAGCAGGTGACTTACACAAAACATTTTTTCAGGATAAGAGAAACCATAATTCTAGTTAAAAATCATAGACTTGAATTTGGAAACAGAGACCTGAATTTGTACTCTGTGTTAAACTGGGCTTTACTGCTTGACTTTAAAAAATAACTGGCAAGGAAATGCATAATTATAAGCAGTCAATTTCTTGTCTTATTTATAACTATGAGATATTTTCCAAAATAGAATTGAATGAGTATTACTACATATACCTAATGAGAAACCAAACCCTGAAGTATGTTTATTTATCCAGACCTTAAGCCATAACTCATAGCTTGGTGATCTTTTTGCAGGAGTCTTTAGGTATAGATGTTCCCTCCTAACAGTTGTGGTACAAGTCTATTACTGAACCCAATGCTATGCTGTTAAGTATTTTAATGTACCTTTTTATAGAGATCTACAGGACCACCCAGGACTTTAAGAAGTCATCTATTTTATCCTCCATTTAGAATACAATTTAAATAAAAATTGTCAATTATATTTTGATTAAGAGTGCAAATGCTAAGTCTGACTGCTTGGCTTTAAGTTCACTTTGTAGTTCCTCCAAGTGCCTGAATTTCCTCAACTGTACCTCACTAGGTATGTGGCAAATAGTCAATCAATGTAAGTCATTTGTTGTTATCATTTAATTATTTTGGAGCGATGCTTAATATAGCCAGTCACATGTTAAGCTCTCAGCAGTTATCATTATACAAAAGTCACATGGCAATATATTCACTTATAAAAGATGTGTGTGTCTAATTAACTTTAACCATTTGAGGATAACTACAAAGAATATTTTTATTGATGTTAAGTGCCATTGAGTCTGTTCCAATTCATAGCGACCCTGAATGGAGTTTCTCAAAAGCGGCTGGTGAGTTTGAATTCTTGACCTTGACCTTGCAGTCCAGTGCTTATCCTACAGAACCACATAGGCTCTCCATAAAACAGATGATATTTAAAAAAAATGGTTCTTTCTTCCATGTATAAGGAGAGATGTTCACAAAGAACATTAATTTGTAAGTCAGTTCCATAATTTAGAATTTTAAGACAACTTCTCAGAATCACATCAAAAAAAGGGCAAAAAACAACACCAGAGTTTGATACTACTTGTGCTTCAGAGTAGGAGCAGTCTTATTGTTGTTAAGTGCTGCTGAGTTGGTTCCAACTCATAGCCACCCTGTATAGGGTTTCCAAGGAGCCGGTGAGTTTGAACTTCCGACCTTGTGGTGCAAACTGATCTTGCAGTCCAGTGCATTATCCTGCAGCACCACAGTAGGAGCAATTTATATGAGCCAAATCAACCCCTCCTGGTTAACTTTTCCTTAAACAACCTTCAGTGAAGGAGATCCTATAATTTTTGTAAAATCTATTAAATTTAAAATGTTTCCCAATGCATAATTATCCCAATATAAAATTGTCTGTTTATAACCTGTACAATATATTTTCTCTCTATAGATATTAAATAAGAATATTCTTTCCAAGCAAGAGCCTTCTTATACTGAAAGAGACTATCTTTCCTTAAAAGACAAATATCACTTGACAATAAGTAGTATCATGTTGTATGCTAAGCAAATAATTCAAGAAGCTGTACAATATGAAGAAGAACACAGCATCAGGATTGAAGGACATCTCATTAACAATCTGTGATCTGAGACAATCCTGCTTGCTAGGTGAAGAGGAGTTGAAGCACTTACTTGATTGTGTCAAAGACTATAACCTTCAATATGGATTATACCTTAGCATAAAGATAAAAAAAGTCCTCACAACTAGTCCAATAAGCAACATCATGGTAAATGGAGAAAGAAATTTGAGTTGTCAGAGATTTCATTTTATGTGAATACACAATCGATGCCCATGGAAGCAGCAGTCATAAAATCAAACAATATAGTCCCTTGGACAAATGTGCAGCAACAGTTCTCTAAACATCTTAAAAGACTAAGGTACACCTGATACAAGCCAAGGTATTTTAAATCACCTAATAC